AAAACTTTTTCAAATGGTGATTGGGGTAGTGTCCGCAGGTGTGTTGAAAAATTTATTTCTCTCGCCTTTAATATAATTTCCAATTTATCATAATAATTAATTATTTAAATTATTATAATTATAAATTAATAATTTAATTGTTCTAATTAATAAATAATTATTAATTAATTATTTAAATAAATAAATTTAATTTAAATAAATTAATAATTTAATTGTTATAATAATTAATAATTATTAATTAATTATTTAATTGTTATAATTAATTAATAATTATTAATTAATTATTTAAATAAATAAATTTAAATTTAATTTAAATAAATTAATAATTTAATTGTTATAATAATTAATAATTATTAATTAATTATTTAATTGTTATAATAATAATGGAAAGAAATATTAAAATATTTTTTTATAATTAATTTTTTTTTTTTTTTTTTTTTTAATAATAAAACTATTATGTTTTGACTCAGCTGCTATTTAAGTCATTATAATGCTTTCATATTATTCGTTATTGAAATAAATTATAAAAATTTTGTCAGTTTAAGTTAAAGGAAACTGTTTTTTTTTTTTTTTTTTTAATTAAAGATGTAGAAGTAAAAAGGTATGGCTCATAAACAACTCATCATAAAATGGGTTGTAAAATAAAGTGGGGCAATTTTACTTTAATTTTCATATGAATCAATAAAATTTCATATCACGTTTCAGATTTCTTTTTAAATAATATAAAAATTCTTTGATAAATTCGAACTATATAGAAAAATGGTATATTTGTCTCCGAGCCTACTAAATCATTTATTTGTTGCAAATATATTTCATTTCATTGAAATAAAAAATTTATTTGAGCCAAAGAAAAATTTATTTCTAACAAATAAAATTTTTATTTACGTCAAATAAATAAGTTAGTATAGGCTCTGAGATAAATATACGCGTTTATTTAACTCAAATATATTTTATTTGGTTCAAATAAATCATTTCTCTGATAATACTTGGACTTTATATTATAAACAATTAAATTGTTATAAATAAGGGAGAAATTTCAAATCTTTAAATTACTTATTAAAAAAAAAATTAACGAAATTAACAATAATGATAAATAAAGATAAATATGAATTAAATTATTCGTAATGAATTGTAAAATTGCAGGTTTTTTTTTGAAATAGACTTTTTTTTTTTGAAAGACAGATAATTACTCATGTTGGACAATGAAGCAAGAGTCGACACGTGTCGACATAAAAAACATCACAGTATAACTGAACAACAATGAGTCTTTTGATGAACGAGTTCGTGGTCCTCCTCTCTTATATTTTATATATATATAATATGGCAAAAAAGAGCTAAAATGTGGCTGGAGACAGATTATTATTCCCCAATATAAGAAAAGAAAAAAAATGAATAGAACAGTCTCATTATAAAAAAGAGACTCGACCCATTTTTTCTATAGATGATGGACACTCTTTTTTTTCTACCATTTGGGACGTTATCTCAATTTCAAATTTTCTTTCACATTTTCCCAAAAGTGCGTTTGATAATTCTCAAAAGAAACTTTTCAAGATATAAAAAAAAAAAATTCATTTTTTCTTTTACTTTTTTTAAAAATCAGAAAATTAGTGTAATTTATTTTTCCTACAAAAAATTAAAAAAAAAAATAAATTGTCCAAATGAAACTTTCCTCGCAACAGTTTTAATCAGATAAATTTTCATTCACATAACTCCATTGTGATATATTAAATAGAAAATTTGAACTTAATTTTTTTTTTTTTATTAATAAAAGTTGTAAATCTGATGCATGAATTTGTGTGTATATTTCTCATGTAAAAAGTGTAATTATGTGTGAAAGAGAAATAAAAGATTTTAATGAATAAATATTAAATTCATATATATATATATATATGCGTGATGTATATAGAAATTAAAAATTTACTACTAATCGTTGCAGAAACAGCATAATCAATTACATCGCAGTGCATCCTGTAAACGCCGAGAACAGGGCAAAAACAATTCATATTCTTAAAACTTGACATTTTTACAAGTCCCTATCAAAAAAATAATTCAAATTTAAATTTTGTTCTTTAATATATTTCAAATATATTAGAATTATTTCTATTTTATCTTAATTCTCATTTTTAATAAGCATGACAATTTTCGCCACAAACAAAGAATTAAAATAATTATAAATAATAATAATAATAATAATAATAATGAAAAAAACAACAGAAACTGAGAAATGTATAAAGTTGTCATTATTAAAACAATTGGTACATAATTAAAAATAAGAAAAAATTTCTTAATTAAAAAAAATATCGAAAATTTAAAATAATGTTTTTAATAATTTTAAAAATTAAAATAAATTAATTATAGAATTGTAAAATTATACCACATATACAAAATATCTGGGAGAATATTAATCAATGTTTCAATATGCATTTGGCAGTTTCTAGATTGAGTCTCACTTAAAATGTTTTAGTGGCACTTGATGGATATGTGCAGTTCTAAATTAATATTTTAGTAAGAGAGAACAAAATTGGAACTCAGTCTCAATATTAAATGAAAATTCATATTATTGTAATAGGAAAACAAAAATTTTAAAAATTAAATATATTATATTTGTTAAGGGAATAAATTCTTTCCAAAAAAAAAAATTAAAACCTAAAAATATAATTCTTATATAAAAAGATATTGTTATATAAAAAAAATTATTAAAGTTTTTTAATAATTAAATTTTTTATTTTAATTTTAATCCATTAAAACTAATTAATTTTTAACAAAATTTTATCAATGGTAAATATTAAAAATAATAAAATAAATGTTTAGCTGTAGCAATATTTATAATTAAATTAAGTAAACTTTCAAGTATACAAAAATGTACTCAAACCATGAAGATTCTATTTTTTACTTTTATTAATAGTTTCACCATAAAAATCGATCACCCTGTGCAAAAAATTATATTTATAAATATTTTATTGTAGAAATTGAAAAATAGAATTCCTTACAGCAGAATATTAAAAAAAAATTTTTTCCCAATTATTAGTCTCTATGATTAATAATTTAATTACTAAAAAAATTTTTGAATACTTTTTTATAGAATAAAAATATAAATTCAAATCTATAATAACAATTTCAACCCAATTATGGTGATCTTAACATGATCGTGAAAAATACATATTAGAAATAAAAAAAAAGGAGAAAAGAGAATATTTCTAACAGACAAAAAGAAATGTAGAAGCAAATTTTTTTTTTAGTGGAAATTTCACTCTTTTGTATATAAAAAAAGCGAAGATGTTCTTTTTTTCACTTGACATATTGTCAAAAATCAAGTGAATGAGAATCGATAAAAACGATTCTTTTATGATAAAAAAAAATCTTCTATTCTTTTTTTTTATTCTTTAATATATTTAGAAATTTAAAATTTATTTAAATATATTAAAAAGAAAATTTCTCTCTCTTTTAATTTCAATTATATGCAATATGGAAATTACGGAATTCTAAAATTCATAACACGATTTCTCATCATGATAAAACTTGATTTTAATATCGTAAATATTGACTCAATAATTTAATATTCATTTTCTTCTTGTTTTTTTTTCAAATAAAAATTCACATTTCATTAAAAGTTTAATCAACAATAAAAATAAAAATCCTAATAAATTATTAACTCTTCCTTTACATTATTGAAAAAAAATGAAAAAATTTTTAATTACAAATTTTTTTTTTATTATAAATTTATTATTATAAGAAATAATAAAAAAAATAGAATTAATAATTTGCAACTTCTAAACAAATCGAAAGCGTGGCAATTTATATTGACTTTTTATATATAATATAGAAAGCTTGAAATTCTTTACATTCGTAAAAAGGAATTCCTTCGCTTATAAATTCTAGTCTGTGGCTATTCAGAAAAATTCAATTTCAAATACCTGACCATTTATTTCATTTCAAATTCCTGTAACTGAAGTTTTGAAATAGCTCGCAGTTTGAAAAATAATTTGAAAATTTCAACATTTCCTGAATCATACATAATAAAAATTGAAAATTACGTCTTTGAAATTATTATTCTCTTTTTTTGAATGAAAACTGTCAAAGATAAACGAAATTGTCAAAGATCACCATAATTTTGTTAATATTACATCATTTTTGTCTCAAATTTACAAAACAAAAAAAAAATAGGGGACGCATGAATAAGTTCTAAAAATAATTAAAATTTTCATTGAATAGAATTTTTTTTCAGAAAAAATTTTTCCAAGTATTTTCAAGATTTTTTATATAACCGAAAAAATTAACATCACAGAATTTTTATTTATTCGAATTTTCAGTCGTAATAATAAAAGAAATAAATAAAAATTTGCCTAAAAATAGTTCTATCAAATGAAAATTGTAAATATTTTTTAAAACTTATTCATGTGTACCAAAAATAGAGATAAAATGATGCGCATGATTATTCTATAAAAATCATTAGTTAGAAATTTCATTTTAAAAAATTCTATTAAAGTATAGTTTTTAATTTTAGACGAATTTTCATTTTTCAAATAAAAAATTTGATAGAATCTTTTTTTTAAACGAATTTTTAGAATTTTATTTGTCCAAAATTGCAAATGGCCGAACGAACAATGGACAAATATTTCGGCGGTATTTTTAAAATTCACCAATCACAATTTTCTTGTGGAAATTTTAAAATTGGCGCCAAAATCATTGTTTTTTTCGGTCGTTTGCAATTTCGGACAAATATATAAAAATTCGGCGTTTTAAGAATTTGTTTAAATAGAAATTCTATTTGGAAAAATGTAATTTCGGCTGAAAAATAATTATATCTGATGATTTTTATGGGATAATCATGAGGAACAATAAAATTGATAAATTAGTCTATTTCCCTGGGGAGATTTGGAATTGAAAAAAGAAAATTAAAAATGACCAAAAAAAAAAAAGTGGAATATCCGCGAAAACCCTGAGATTAGATACACTGGATTACAAGTTTGACTGAGAAGACTGTGTTTCCGGTGTTGCAGGATGCACGCGGTGGGATTGCATTCGGCCTTGGCCATCAAGCGTCAACGAAAGCGTCGTGATGAGCAGCGTCGCGCTCGAGAACGTCGTTTCAGCATTCAATCAGGCGAAAGTGGTTTAACATCACCAAGAGCGTCGACCGGTTCACTGGATCATCATCCAAGACATCAGAAAATTGCCAATTCACATCGTGCGGCCGGACAAAGTATGGTTGACTCAAAGGTTGTCACGTCAATTGGCATGCTTCACATTGGCGTTGTTTTCGTTGTTCTTGGAGCATTTCTCTTAGCCAGTGGACTACTACCAGGTGATCTGTCCTCCTGGGGTACAAAAACAACTGGCAACTGGTGGAACGAATTGGTAGCAACTGGTCTCTTTGCCGTGTTTATTGGCATTTTTCTCATCATTTTGAATCGCGTGATTGCCCGCCGCGAGGAAAATGATCTCGAAGAATATGTCCAACGACAATTGACAAGATCAAGATCGGGTCATCGTCTCGAAAGAGACGTTGAAACTGGTGGTCTCACCACACGACACGCACGTCGTGCTAAGCAAATGCGAAGCACCACATCGTCGGGATCAATTCAAACCCAAGACGATGATAAGAGTTCAATGTCATTGCCAAGAAGTCCACCGCCAGCATATTCGCCAACATCGCCATCAGTCTCAAATGGGGACCATCAAATTCCAATACAATCAAACTTATTTCTCGAGCAAATCACCGAGGAGGAGGCAATCAGCGATCGTTTTGAGACATCGACGACAAATAGCATTAGTCCCGGTTCTCCCAGCGAAACAAGGGAGCTTATACAGGCAAACTCGAAGCATTGCAGGCAGAATGGCACTCACAATCCACAGCGGCAGTCTACGGAGCATTTGCCACTTTATGTACACGTTTCTAGAATTTAAATTATTGACAATGGTGAATGTGAATTAAAAAAAAAAAAAAAAAACCACTTGGGGCCGGTTTTATCAACTCGCTGATCTCATTCACTGAAATATATATAGTGCCTGTTCCAGTAGTATCGGCAAAATTCGAATTGCATAGGCATTTCGGGTTTTGCCTATGATTTTAGGAAATACCCGAATTTCCTAAAGATTTCCTAGACATTTTTAGAATTGCCTAGGTAATACCCGAATTTCCTAAAGATTTCCTAGACATTTTTAGAATTGCCTAGGCGTTTCGGTGTTTGCCTGGGTAATTCGGATTTTGCCGAGGCCGTTTTAGTATACAAATATACAAAATAAATGGCTAATGGTTTCAACCGAACTAGTACATACTTGCAAATGAAAAAGTTTTTCTGTTATTATATGACCAAACATATGCATTTGTGTAGTAAATTTTAATCATTTTCAATTTGCCTAAAACGGCCTCGGCAAAACCCGAAACGCATAGGAAATATTTCTTAAAATCATAAGCAAAACCCGAAACGCCTAGGCAACTCGGGTTTTGACGGTAATATATGTTCCTAAAATCATAGGCAAAACCCGAAATGCCTAAGCAATTCGGGTTTTGCTTGATCTTCGAGTTTTGCCGGTAACTTATGCTTCTAAAATCATAGACAAAATCCGAAATGCCTAATCAATTCGGGTTTTGCCTTGTCTTCGGGTTTTGCCGGTAACATAAGCTCCTAAAATCATAGAAAAAATCCGAAATGTCTAAGGAATTCGGGTTTTGCCGGTAATATATATTCCTAAAATCATAAGCAAAACCCGAAATGTCTAAGCAATTAGTGTTTTGCCTGGTTTTCGGGTTTTGCCGGTAATATAAGTTCCTAAAACCATAGGCAAAACCCGAAATGCCTAAGCAATTAGGATTTTGCCTGGTTTTCGGGTTTTGCCGGTAATATAAGTTCCTAAAACCATAGGCAAAACCCGAAATGCCTAAGCAATTAGGATTTTGCCTGGTCTTCGGGTTTTGCCGGTAACATATGCTCCTAAAATCATAGACAAAATCCGAAATGCCTAAGCAATTCGGGTTTTGCCCGTAATATATATTCCTAAAATCATAAGCAAAACCCGAAATGCATAGGCAATTCGGGTTTTGCCTGGTTTTCCGGTTTCGCCTGGTAACAAATATATTTCAGTGGATCCCATCATCATTATTCACACATTCCTATAGTTAATCATTCTGTTCGCAGTAATACTATTTTCTTTTTATTCCGCTATTTTAATTGTACACTTCAGAACAGATGAATAAAATTGCGCGCGCTGGTGAGATTAAGTTAATTCAAAGATGGTGGGACATAAAAGACTGATTAAATTACATCGGGAATTAACTATAATTGGAGTTGGTGAAACAGGCCCTTAATATTTCCCTCTTTTGATGTATATCTCTAACAACGAATGTCTTCAAAAAGCGTCACTTTCATAATACATATAATAAAATATATTTCTCTCTCGATGCTGGTGAATTTCTAAAAAACAAAAAAAAACATGGGAGGATTTTAAATTCTTTATGTCACAAAATATCGAGGTGCACAACTGCCATAATGTTAGAATTTGTCTAAGCTATATAATGTCTCATCACTATTGTGATAAGCTGTAATAGGAGATATGAATTGACGATTTTTTTTCGAGATTGACAATGAAAAAAAAAAAAAAAAAAGATTCTGATCGTAAAAAGGCTGAAAATTTCGTCCAATTAGGGGCTTTCGGTTTAAGATTATTAATAGGGATAATAAATTACAGACTTTATTTCGTTTTAAGAACGAACTTTTTTTTTCGAATATGGAATTGTATTGAGAAACTATATTGCTTCAATTAAAAAAAAAAAAATCATAATTCGTAAATTTTGATTTTGATAGAGAAACGCCGAATAACGCATTAATCGGTTACTTAATTATAAATATTTACGAATAATTTTTATTTGAATTAAATAAATTGTATTTGGACCAATAATTTTTTGTATTTGAAACAAATACCATCTCAAATAATAATTATTCAGAATATTTATTTGATATAATAGAAAAGTAATCAATTATTTGATTTTTTTTTTTTTTAATTAAAATCAAGATTTTTTTATGAATTAACGGCAAGTTTATGGAATGATTCGGATTTGATAATTCTATTCTAAATATTTTATTCTATTTTGATAAATAAAAATAAAAGAATCGATAAAAAAAAAATTAAATAATAATTTTAATATTGGAGAATTTTTTAATAATAATCTTCCAAGTATCATAAGTAGCCTTCTCGTTTTATTATATGTAATATCCATTTTCTTAGATTAATGTAGGAAATCTAATGCAAATTGAAATTTGTGCCTTGCCGTTAATTAACCATTATTAAAACTACATGCAATAGCGTTTTAGATACGTACATTAATTATTAAAAGCGACAAAGGGGATTTAATAGAGTTTAACCGATTTATGTTGCAATGCTTTTTAAATTAAATTACAAACAAAAATTTATAATTATAATAAAATTATTATTATTATAGAAGACGATATTCGGCGCTTTTCCACTTTCAAATTAATGCGTGTGTTTAATTTAATTAAATTATTAATTAAAATTTCAATTCTACTCACAATCATTTTTATAATTACATTTACAATTTTTTTTTTTTTTTTTTTTTTTTATAAAAGAGAAAAATAAATGTTTTCTCTTTTCTTTTCTTCTTCAACTTTCAATTAATTTTATATTCATATCATCATAATAATAAAACTTTTTCTCCCTGTTATTTGTATAATGTCCAGGTGTATAACTGAACTTTGGAAAAAAAAAGTTTCGTCAACAGAGCTTTTTAAGTTTACGTCGAGTTTTGTAATAAAAATAAAAAATAAAACTCTGTAGCCTGTAATTTGATTAAAGTTATATATGTATAAAGTAATGGAAAAAGATTCCATAAAGCTTTATAATTTACATGTTGAACGATGAAATTATGCTTATTTACTCCGCGAGGGGGATAAAAATAAAAAAAAAGAAGAAGAGAAAATTCTTTAGGAAGTGATATAGGAGTAATATTGAAAAATAAATCGCGTTTTGCTCTATTAGGGTTGAGAGAGAAGCAATCGTGCGCTGTAACGAGAGGCAATCAAGGACCAAGACTAATTAGTTTCTGAACGATGATTGAATGATAGTTTACAAAATTCAAAGAGTTAAGCAAAGAATAGTATCTCGAGGGCCATTCCATGTTATATATATATATATATATATATATAGTGTTTCTATCAGAATATTTCTCACTTTTTAAAAAACAATATGTAAGTTTTTAATTTAATTAATTAATTAATCTACCTTAATAATTTAAATAATTAATTATTAAAATAATCAGAAAATTAATTATATAATTGTGTAGATAATTAAAATTATTAATTATATATTTAATTAATATATTAACTATTAATATTATAATTGTTAATAAATTAATTAATAATAATTTCACATGTGCATTTTTTTTTTGTAGAATCGATTACTTTTTCATTCACGATTTTCAAATGATTTAAAGTATTAGGATGTCTCAAAACTTTTAACTTTCACCAATATTTTAAATACTTAAATTAAAAATAATTTAATTTAACGTCAAAATATTGATAAATTATTGTTTTGTTATTATTTGTAAAATAAATTGAAAATAATTATTTTTTTCGATTTATTCCACTTTGGGGTAGTAGTATAAATGTATAATATCGTATATAATTTTGTTTAATTATATTTATTATATAAAATATTTATAATATTATTTTCTTTGTAGTTTTGCGCCAGAAGCCGAAAAAATGTCTGTGATAAATTACAAAGTATTAAATTTAATTACATTATTCATAAAACTAGACTTAGGTTTTTAAAATACAACAAAAAAAAAAAAATAGTAAACTGTCTTTTTTTGGTGCATTTTAAAAAATAAAACAGAATTTCTTTGAGACATTCTAACTTTTATCAAAAAAAAAAAAAAAAAAAGAAAAAAAATACACTCGTGGTGTACATACACAAGAAAAGGGACCTTAAAGGCAAAAAAAATTTAGGTTATGTCAAGTGAAAGTTTTCGTTTTGATTAATTTTTTTTTTTTTAATTATATGTAAAATCAAAATCATTATTGAATATCTTTTCCAGTGATTTGTATTAAGATTTAGCTTTCTTTATTTTCTATTTAAAAATTATACAAACATAATCTAAAAATTTTTTTGCCTCTAAAGTCCCTTTTCTCGTGGAGAGTCACAATTAATAAAACTTATTAAAATAAGAATTCTTCACTGCGTAATAATTACCATTTAGAATTATATTCCAAACATTTTCGATTATATATTTAACTATAATACCAGTATTTTAAGAAAAATTTGCCAAAACATACGAATCGCTTCCTATTTAATTAATTTAATAATTGTGTCACATTTTTTTTTTTAATTTGTCTTCCATACCCTTATAAAAATTAATATTGCTTAATCGAAACGGACATATTCTATGCTTAATAATTTGCTTCTTCGAAACATATTTCAGGGTTCGAAAATGAAAATGCAAAATAATCACAATACCAAATATTCTTGTACGCATTTATCATTCAAATTTATATAATGTAGGCGTATATACATAAATTGTATATAATCCTTATTCCTTCTTATAAAGAAGGCATGGTTAAACCATGTTTAATATATAGATCACATAATATTATGTAATAATTATATTATTAAAAAAAATCAAATCTCACTTAGCAAAAAAAAAAAAAAAAATCACTATCTTTTTTCTTGTTATCAATTTTTTTTTTTTTTTGATAAAAAAAAATAAAACAAAAGCATTTTTATCAAACAAAAAAATACTATTCTAAATTTTAAAAGAACAATGAAAAAAAATTTTTTAAAATGGAAAAAAAATTTAGTGAGGTTTTTTCAAAGGTTTTGAATTTCACATACTTTTTATGAGATTTTCTGCGATATTGTTATAGCTTACAAATTTTCGAGTAAAAATTTTTTAAAAAAATTTTATTGTGCTCTTTAGTGTTTTATTGTATATTCAAAAAAAAAAACGAATTATTTTATTCTTTTGAAAATTTTTAACACAAAGAATTAAAAAAGAAAAATCACCTTTCAATATAGAAAATATATACGTATTGCAGTGCTTTTATATGAAAAAAAAAATTCAAAAGTATTATATTATATAATAAGAGCACAGTAAAAAAAAAATATACGAAAAAAAAATAATTGAATTTAGAACTTTCGAAACGAATTTTTACTGCATCTGACTTATTTGAATCAGAGAAAATTTTGCGCATTTTCCCCTTTTCTCCTATTATATATACGAACTAAAATTATTTATATAAATTAATGTAAGATGTATATTAGACTATTTCTAATAACATTATTATATAATCTACAATCTCTTTCTATATATACAAATTATGTATACTTATATTGAACTAGAAATTTTTTACATTTAATAAATTGTTAAACATTATTATTAAATTGAATTGCTATAATATTATATATATATATAAATTAAATTAAGAATTGTACATTCCTTTGACATTTGCGAGCACATTGTACATAAACTTCTGTTCATGAACTAATTAAACTTTCTCAAAACGTATATCTTGAAGTAGATTCACATGAAAACGAGATTTTGTCTATTATATCTTTCACTCGTATTTTCTTCACAATAAGTGAAAAAAATTTTCATAAATAATTTTTAATACAAAAATTTTAATAAACAATTTTTTTAATAAAAAAATGATTTATAATTTTTATTTTCAACTTGCAAATTTAAAACTATTTTATTTAATAATTTTTAATTATTATTATATTTTTGAATTTTATTTATTTTTAATTAAAATAAATAATGAGAGATAATTTGTTCATCAGACAGAATCGTCTTCGAAAATCTGGAATAATTAAAGAAAAAGAAAAAAAAAATAATAATAATAATCATGCTCGAGCGCTACAATTCTGTGATCCAAAAAAAGTTAACTCGCACCAATTAATAGTGTATTATACAAAATGAGTAAAACTCGAAATATTATAAAGAAATTCGCTTCAATTGGTCGAGAGCAAATTTTTCTTAATAATTATATTTGCTTGACCAAATTTAAGCATCAATTTTATTAGATTTTTTTTTTTTTGTAGGTATATAATTCACAAAAGGATCTCTATAATATTTTTAAGATAACCGGCAAATAATGATAATTAAATGATGAAAGTTTTTTCTATAAAGAAGACAATTTTTATTTATTAACTCAATTTCATTCATTAACACATAAGATTTTCTCAAAGTTTTTCTTTTATTTTACTTTTAAAAAAAAATTTTTTTTAACTTTAATCATTGGACTAAAGAAATATATATTTAAAATATATAAAATTTATTAAAGAATTAATGAATAAGACAAAAAAAATTTTTTTTTAAAGAAATTCTATTGCTATTTAAGACTGTGAATTTCAACAAAAACAATCAACACATTTTAACTTGTGTTTAATGAAGTTTTCAATGAGCAATTTTAGCAATTACTTTTGCATCAACAAGCCAATAATCAGTTGATACTTATTTTGTGTTTTAATAATCAAAGGTAAAATGCGTTGATACACCTGTTGCATATGACATTATATATATTCTTATTTTCTTTAAATGAAAAATTTAGAAAAAAAAGTTAATTAACTAAATATTTACTTTTTATTTTAATCAAATAAATTATAAAACTAAAAATAACAATGTGAAATAATTATTTAAATTATTTTAAATTTTAGAAATAAATTATTTTTCTATTATTTTTGGTTTATTATTTTGAGATGATGTTCAAATAAAAAAAAAAAAAAAAAAAAAAAAAACAAGCAGATTTAGTGCCAGAAATATAAGATCTAAAATTTACCATATCATAGGTGAATTTCATTCTGGATCGGACAGTCAAGTCCATTATTAGAATCAGTTTTCATATATGTTTCTATTCATGAGGGAATTTAAGTTTCTCACATATGTCTATCTGATTTAACAATTCACTGATTTCACTATATATTCATAAGTCAGTGCATCACAAAAAACACATATTACAAATGTTGTATAAACTCAAACTTGAGTATAATATAGTTTCAAAAAATTAAATAAATATTTTTAAAGTCAAAAGTTTTTTTAATTGAAAAAAAATTATTCTTATTAAATTAATTCAATATTGACTATTTACATGATAATACCCGCCTATTAAAAAAAAATTATTATAATAATTATATTATTATAATTATAATAAAAAAAACCCAAATTTTCAAAAAAGAAAAAAATAATTTGTTAGCAAAAAAAAACTAAAAATATTTACGAATTTTATTAAATTTTTAAAATTTTATTTAAAATTTTATTCGCTAAATTTATTTCAAATAATTTAATTTTTACAATAAACATTAACAAAAAAAAATTTATAATTTAATTTGCAAACAAAACAGTTTCTTTATAAAATACGATTGATAATAAAAACAAAATCGTTTAATCAGACTGTGAAAGAAAGAAACGAAAAAAAAAATTGAAAAATCTTATTTTATGATCAACAGCTAATTATTATAATTGTGATTCTAAAATTTCATTTTAATTAAGAAGCTCTATCCTTAGTAATTAGTTTAATGTTAATTTAACATAATTTGTCATCAAAAACCTATTTAATAAACTTCACGCTCATTTGAATTAAATGGTCATTAGTTAATAACGATGCAGGAATTATAAATGACCAACTCTATATTTGCATAATTACATAAATGTAAACATGTTAAAAAAAAAAAAAAAATATATACTTCTGTGCAAAAATGATTAAAAATCATAGATCTGTGCAGTTAACTGCTTTTCGTTTTATCAAAATAAAAAAAAATGAGAGAAAAATTATCAAAACTAATATTTAAAAAAAAAGGGGTCATAATTATTTTATTATTTTACTGTTATATCTATATAAACATGTAAATAACAATAAAAAAAAATTTATTCTACGACTTAGTGTATAAATTACTCGCGAATAGTTTTATGATTTTTTCAACCGGATTCTATCATAAAAATCGAAATTTGTGGTAAACAAGTTTTTTTTAAGTTATAAATAAAAAAAAATGCGTTTTTAAAAAATAAATTATAAAAGCAAAAGAACAAAAAAAAAAATACAAAAACGTAAATGAAACAAAACTTTATTATTTACAATAAAAGATATTTTATTAAAAAATAAAAAAAAATTGCTCTCTATAAATTAATTTTGTTAATTGTTAATTTCAATTTCTAAATGATAATTTTAATATCCTTTTTTGTAATACAGAATAAAATTAATTTTTCATAATAATGTTTTGTTTCGTCAACAATTTTCGCATCATATCATATACACGTTATCATTATAAAATAAAAATATTATCAGAGCATATATATATATAATATTTAAAATATAAATAATAATATCGAAATTGCGATAGCTGTTAATAGTTTATTTTCCCATGATATCTATTTAAATTATATATCATTATTATAAATATTTATTAACGTATATAAATATATATAATTCTTCATAAATGTACAAAGAGTTAAATTGTTATATCTATAAGATTAAATTACAATTAAAAAAAAAAAAAAAAAAAAAAAAAAAATGTATTACAATTTCCAGAAAAAAAATACACACATAGCTGTAAGCTTTCTGATGCCATTTCTCTATTGTACCACCGATATACATCTGACGCACGAATTTTCGAGAATAAAGATTTATGATACGCTCTAAATAATTGTCTCCTTGTTGATTTATTCTAATTGAGAAGCGTGAATTTACATTCTCTCTTCACCCACTTAAAAACTACTTCCACATATGAAATACTCTGGAAATTAATACACAAGTATATATACCCCCTATATGTGTACTAATTGATTTTGAAATTTATCATAACTTTTATATATTTTCATTATGGAAATTTAATTCCTGTCAATTCCAATTCATTGACTATTTTCATTTCAAGAAAAAAAAATTACAAAATTAATCGATTTTAATAATAATATATTCAATCAAAATGTATATTTTAATTTATTGAAAAAATTATTTTTTCAAACCTATATTATTTGTATTTTTGTAAACATTTTTGATTTATAAAACTGTGATCTCCGTTAAAAAAAAAAACAATTTTGAATTCAATCAATTTTAAATTCGAAACATCTGAATTTGACAATTACAAAAAACCATTAAAAATTTTCGAGAGAGCGTTCTATTTTCTGAAAAACAAATTAATCGATATAAAATTTTTGTATTGAAAAAAAAAAAAATTAATAAACTGAAAAATTATATACATTTAGAGTAATGATATATATCACAATGCGTCAGAAGGAGGTTTAAATAAAAATGAATTGGCACTTAAAAATTCTTTTTAATTATGGTTCTAAGATGAATAAAAAACTTTTCTCAATAGGTTTTAAAATCAGCTTACATGCCCAATTTAAAACAAATTGAGTTTTAAATATTTAAAAATAGTATTTTATGAGGAACCAGAATTTATTTAATGTATACTTATATATGCGAATAGATGTATTAGATTTGGGTTCATATAAATTTATTAACAATGAAGTTATTTTCTTGTTTTGTTTTTATATTTATGCATTAAGAGTGTCGAACGGTATCTGAAATTCTTTGACAAGAAGAGAGCTTTAATAATCGCTCTGAACGTGAAATAGTTTTGATTTTAAAATACTTTTTCTCTCGAAACACGAACACTTTTATCAAAATCAGCCAAAATCCTCATTTTATAAATTTCCTAAATCCAAAAGACTGCGTACGAATCCATAGAAAAACATGGTTGCAAAACAAAAAAGTAGAAAAGTAATCTAATAACAGCTGCGACTTTGTGCGCCCTGAATGCTGCTGCCATCTGACGGCGGCAGGAGGTAATGAACCCCTCATTATATTACTTTTCGTTTTGCAATCGTGTTTTTGTATGCGGATTCGTATAATCTTTCGGATTTAGGAAATTTATATAAGATAAGGATCTCCAGCTGCTTTTGTAAAAAGTGTCCGTCTTTCGAGAAGAAAGTATTTTAAAATCAATTTTTATCATTTTCACGTTTAGTGCCGTTTTTATAGAGCGATAATTAAAGGTCTCTTCTTGCCAAAAAAAAATTCAGAGGCCATTCGACTCTCTTATATAAATTTTGTCACTCTTTAAATTGTTCTTTTAACATTATAATTTAATTTTTTAAAATCGGACACAAACACTACAGCAATATAATTATTTATATGTAAAATTGAAAATAATTAATTATTTTATCATTTATTACAGTATTTATTAGATTAAATAAATTCTGATGCCCCATAAAACACTGTTTTTATATAAAAACACAATTTTATTTAAATCGGGCACGTAAACTGATTTTAAAAACTATTGAGAAATGTTTTTTTATTCATCTAAGAATCATAATCAAAAAGAATTTTTAAGTTCCAATTTATTTTTATTTAAACCACCTTCTGGTGCACCGTGATATATTTTTCTCAGAGGCAAATAAATATTTATTTTGTTTAAATAAATTTTATTTACGTTAAATAAAATTTTATTTGTACTATCATATAAAAATTAGAAAGAAATAAAAAAAAAACTAACTCTGGGACAAATATATTTTTATTTGATTCAAATAAATGTAAATAAAATATTTCTCTAGGTGTAGATTTCTCTCAAAATTATAATTTTTTTCTCTTGATCATAAAGTTTCTAATTTTTTTTTTTTTTTATGTTCATTAAAAAAAGTTGGCTGATAATCATTACTGTTACTGATTTAGTAGAGGAAACACATATAAAGATCGTATAACTAGAACTTCTCAACTTTTTTCGAGTCGTATTTATTTCGTTCGGAAGTTTCTTTTTTTCTCACAAAAAAAGCTTAAGTGATTTAGTTCGTCAAAACTTGATTCATAAGGGTTGTTTTTTTCTTCTATATGTGTGACGCACAATTACAAAACACGTGTGTCACATTTTGGAGAATTAATTCTATAGAATATATTCTCCAATTCGTTTTTTTTTTTTTTTTTTTGAAATATTGAAAAAAATAAATTTTTAGTGAGTTGTTTGGTTTGTTTATTTAAAAATCCATTTATTATCATAACTTGCCTTATGAGCTTTCGCCTGCCAACGGTAGGCCTCTTCAGACATATTATCTAAATGTAATTATAAAATTTTTATTTTACATAAAGGAAACAGTGTGTGACTTAGTATTTTATTATATAAAAAGGTAGAATTGATTTTCAGTTAAAAGTAATTTCGTTTGAAATTTGAAAGGTTAACCTCAAAAATATTTATGTATAATTTTTATTATTATCGAAAAATAAACTTACCAAGAGGGTTTCCTCATTAATATTTTTTAATTATCCTTATTTATAAATAAATTATTAATTATCAAGAACATGATTGTTCTTGATAATATTTATAATATTTTAATGGAGATAAGTGAGTGGAAATGAGTTTGTCACATTTTTAAAGGTACAATTAGAGAATTAGAGAATTACTAATATATATTAATCGTTATATGATTAAGAAGGTATCTATATGACCGGCTTAAATTGAACGAAAATTTAAATTTGAAAATTTCTTTATTAATCAGTGCTGAGAATCAGGGAGTGATAAATTTCATTTAAATTATTTAAATCAGTGTGTTTATTCACGGAATTTTGAGTTTTAAGAATGTAAAACATTTCTCTGAATTTTCTACGTTTAAGTTTTGTTTCATTACATATAATGCTTGTATCATCGAATTTAAAAATATGATCATTTTCATGTGAATGAATTACAAGGGCGGATTTTCTATTGTCATACCTGCAATCTCTTTTATGTTCATTTATTCTGTCTTTAATATATCTTTCTGTCTCACCAATGTAGGATGCTCCACATTGGCATGGAATGTGATAAACTACGTGATTTTTGAATAAAAAAGGTGTAGGATCTTTATTTTTTATGAAGATTTTAAAGGGGTCCTTATCATAAGTGAAAACGACTCTAATATTATGTTCATTATATAATTTTTTAAAGGAAGAATGTAACTCATTTACGTAAGGTAAAACTACTAAATTAGAAGAATCAAATGGTATTTTATTAGTATTATTATCATCATTAATAAATAAATTTTCAAAACGTTTATTAATATATTTTGTTAAGAAATTTTGTGGATAATCATTTTCTATTAAGATATTGTATATAAAATTTAGGTTATCAGTATAGAATTTAATATCTGAAAGTTTAATTGCTCTATCTACTAAACCATAAATTATAGAAATTTTGTCTTTAATAGAAGCATTAGAATTAAAATTTAAGTATTTACCAGAGAAAGTATCTTTATGGTGCCAATTTGTAATAATAGAATCGTTCTCCCTAATGAGAAGGGTATCTAAAAAACTAATTTGTCCATTGTTTTCAATTTCAATGGTGAATTGTAAATTCTCATTATATCCGTTAAAGGTGTTTAATAGTTTATTGACATTGTTTTTATGAATGCATATAATAATGTCATCCACATATCTAAAATAAAAGATATAACGAAAGTCCAACTTCTTCAGAACATCATTTTCAAGTTTCTCCATTACTAAGTCGGCAATAACACCAGACAATGGAGAACCCATTGGGGTTCCAAAAGTTTGTTTATAAAACACATCATTGAAACAACAATAAGCATTTTCAATACAGAAATCCAAAATGTCTAAAAAAATATTTAACAAAAAATAAATTTTTACACACAAGGATAAAAATAAAAAAAAAAATAAAATAAAATAAAAAAATATATAAGAGAATATTTTGAAAAAAAAATGGAACAAAATTGAAAAGTTCGTGATAAAAGCACATAAAGTAGGCAATATAATATTTAAAAGTACATTAATATTGTTTGCCATTATATAGGGAGGATAAGATCGAATGCATTTTAACTATTAATGCAGGAAAGTTTGCAACGTCTTGTGATACAGATTAAGGGACAAAACATAACTTTTACAAGAGTTTAAATTTACGACATATAAAATGTCAACTTGCAAAGAATAACGATTTTCAAAATGAAAAATTCAAATTATTTTTTCAATTTTGTTTTTTAATTTCAATTTGTTCAATTTTATTATCGATTTTTTTGTTAGAAAAACTTTTGATTTTTTTAATTTTTTATTTCGTTTAGTCGATTAAACTATTTGGAAACAAATTTCCCCTCAAATAAGAAAAGTTGGACGTAAAATCATTAATAATTATAATGAGCTTTTCCAAACAAAATTAAAAGTGTATTTATTTTTTGAAATATATATTTATTTTGTTGAAAATTAAATAATCCCAATTGTAATAACAAAAAATAGTCTATCTCTCTCTCAAAAAAAAAAATAATAATATTAAAAGAAATTTTTTACCTGAAATTTTCATCTCTTTTTTTTACCTTAGTAACAAGTATATTATTCAAGTATAAAAAGAATGTGCATTTTTCATATGTACATAATCAAATAGAAAGCAGAATATTAAAAATAGAAAACAAAATATTTTTTTTTTTTTTGTAAATGCAAGTTTTTGTTTCAATGGAAGTAAAATTATTCTCTCTAAATTTGAATTATATAGTGAAAAGTGAGCACAGTAAAAATTTTTTTTACTAATTTTGAATAAAATATTACTATTTGATTTAGTAATTAAAATTTTTTTGTTTACTAAAATTTTAGTTAAATGTGACTAAAAATTAGTGAAAATTCTTACAAATTTAAATTAGTAGCTCACTTTTCCCTACTTTCTAAATCTGAATTACTCTCTAAATCTGAATTAGTAAAAATGTTTACTAAATTAGTGACTCACTTTTTGCTTTAGAATTAGTTAAATTTTACTAATCGATAGTAAAAGTTACTAATAATTAGTAAAATTTTACTAATTGAGAAGAAAAAAGTGAGTCACTAATTCAAATTAGTAAACTTTTTTACTAATTCAGATTTAGAGAGTAGTAAAAATGTTTACTAATTTGAATTAGTAACTCACTTTTTGCTTCTGAATTAGTAAAATTTTTACTAATTATTAGTAACTTTTACTAACAATTAGTAAAATTTAACTAATTCTAAAGCAAAAAGTAAGTCACTAATTTAAATTAGTAAACATTTTTACTAATTCAGATTTAGAGAGTAATTTAGATTTAGAGAGTTTATTTCTTATTTTTATTTATTTTATTATTTTATTTATTATTTATATTTATTTATTATTTTTTAGTTATTTTATTCTTTATTAGAAAAAATGAAAACATTTTTTTTTGTCTCAAGTAAAATTAAAACTTTATTAAAGTAAACTCTCTAAATTTGAATTAGTGAAAAGTGAGCTACTAATTCACATTAGTAAGAATTTTTATACTAATTTTTAGTAAAATATTACTATTTGAATTAGTAGTTTAAAATTTTTTTTACTAAAGGTTTAGTAAATAGTGACTAAAGATTAGTTAAAATTCTTACTAATTTAAATTAGTAGCTCACTTTTCGCTAATTCAAATTTAAAGAGAAATATTTTATAAATATTTTTTTATATTAATTTTTTTTTTTATTTTTTTTACTGATCTAAAATTTTTTTTTGTGGTTTTCAAAATCATCGAACAATATACGTCTAAATAAAATAATATATGAAAAACAATTGAAAGATTGTGAATGAAGATTATGCGGTATCCATGGGATTTATTGCAAGAATCCTCCAGGTGATGTTCCATGGGAGTGTCGAGGAGGGGTGCCTAGAATCGTATCGACCGACGGGGTCACGCGAGGTCACTAAAGTTCATAGCGTCTCCTGGTTCCCGAACCCTCCGAGTTTTGCTTTTCCCCTCCAATCCCCAACTGTTTTCCTTTTTTTTTTTGTTTTCCATTTTAATTCTCAATAATATTCAAGAATTTTTATTGCAATAAAATTAATCAATTTTTTGCTCTAGAAAATTAATATTTTTTTTCATGGAAAAAAAAACTATTTTTTTTTTTATCGAAAAAGAAAAGAAAAGTTACTCTCTTTTTTTTCCCCAGTAATAGTAACACTTTTCATCAGTTTATAAAACGACGAACAAATAAGTAATAGTACAATGTTTCTCTGTACTTCAATATGGATTTTTCAATTCTCGTTTCGAGGGAAGCTTGAATGAACATAAGTAAAATTTACGAGAGCTTTAGAAAATAATGGAAAAAGAGGTAATTCCTGGATATATATATATATATGAAACACATTTGGAAAAAAATTTCAACTTAAGTATTTTTCACATGAATGATTTTTTTTTTATTTATTTTTTTTTAATAAAAATTCGAAAAGATTTGATGGGTGAAAAAAAAATTCTCGAATCGACGATTTTTTATCGTAAAAGAGAAAACTTTCGTTATTCTTTATAGATGTAAATTATAAATAAAAGTATTATTAAAACTTTAAAGACATAATTTTTCGAAATACTTACAATAATTGCAATTAAATTACAATAATTAATAATTATTATGCAACTTTGAGAAAACAAAAAATTAATTTTTCTTTTGCAATTATATTTTTTTATTTATATAAATAAAAAAAAAATATTTTTATATAAAATATTATTGAATAAATTTTTTTTTACATTAAAAAATTATTTTTATTTAAGAATTTAGAAATTAGAATGAAAAAATGAGTAATTGAATAAGTAGAATAAAAACGGAATCAGTGTTTAAAGGTGGATTTTTTTTTTTTCATAATTTAGGATGATCGGAGCAATGCCAGCTGTGGCTGTTCGCCATGAGAGGAGAAGACAAGAGAAAAGATTGAAGCGACCTAGCCAACTTTACATAGGGGGCCAGTGGATGCCACCCCTTCAGGGATCACCACCTACCCCAAGTCCGCACAGTCATAATGCTCACCTTGATCCAATGCCTGAGCTTTATCTATGTGGCAAGGTAAATTTTTTATAGCACAACATCTAACACACTTTGTCCCTTTTTTTTCTCTCTAATATAACAAAAATCATTTATTCATTTGGTACTATAAAAATCATTTATTCATTTGGTAATATAAAAATTAAAATTTTCCCTTTAGAAAAATAAACATCTTTTTTTTTTAAATCCTCTCCTTAAAGATTATTAAATTTAATTCAGAAAAATAAATCAACACAGAAAATTAAAAGGCATTAAAATAAGCTACAACGCTTATTATTTTAATCCAATTTTGCTTATTTTAATACCAAAATGGATTAAAATAAGCAAAATTGAATTAAAATAATAAGTGTTGCAGCTTATTTTAATGCCTTTTAATTTTCTGTGGAATAAATACTGAATTGAAAGAAAATTTTTACTTTTCTTTGTATGATTGAGAAAACATTTTTTTTTTAAAATAATTTTACTAATAATGCAATTTCTTAATATTAAAATGTAGAGACTCGTTATAAAAATATATTTTTTTTTAATCGAATATCTGTGTGCAATTGACAAAAAAATTGTGTCAGCAAATAAATTTTTAGTATTGCAAGCAGAGTATGTGCGCGTATAATGGAAAATATATGCATATATATATATATATATAATAAATGTGTGTACTTGAAAAACCTCAGGAGGGATGTGAGAAAGCTTTCAACCCTTATATACATTAACTTGTGAACACTTTCAAGCGGCAAATGTTTCCAGAAGAGTGCACTAAAATGAAGTAAAATTACAATATATAGTATATATATCTATCTAAAAGCTTGAAAATACACAAATTTGAATAATTTAAAAAATTATATAATTATGTAAAGTTGATGTCAAAAAATTATTTTCGTTTCATAGAAATTTTTTATTTTATTCAAAATAAATGTTATTCTTTGATCCTATATTAGAATTTCTTTGGATTTAATATGCCACAAATTTATTTAATTCAAAGAATTCTTTAATTCAAATTTGTTTCAATCAAAGAAATTTGAAACTAAAAATCTTTTTTGTTTTTTGTTTCAAAGAAAATTTTATTTCGAATGATAGAAAAAAAAAGTCAAATTGGTTTCTTTAAATCAAAAAAAAAAAAACTGGATGCGAAACAGTGAAAAAAATATTTTTTTAAAAAATGATCTCCCTCAAAGATTTTAATAAACAGATTTTTTGGTTTTTTTAGATATCGGGCTTGCAAGCGGTGGTATCTTGTCTTCTGTTAGGTGCTATAGTTCTTGTGGTTGGTTTGGTTCAGCTTGCTCCAGGAGCAACAACAACCGATCATCGACTTGCTTTACTCATAGCTGGAGCAACTTTGCTTCTTATGGGTAATTAATTTTTTTTTTTTGTATTTTATAAATAATTTTCAAAAATTCACGCGAAAAAAATTAAATTTAAAAATATTGTTTTTTTGGGGAAAAAAAAAAATTTTTTTTTTTTTGCAGGCATTCTATTGGCAGGTATAAGGTGTTACGTTTTACACTGTATACCATTGTCAAGTGAATCACCATTGGCCACGCCGTTGCCACAAACTGTTTCCGAGGAATCACCAGAAACACGAGCCACATTGGACCTTCTGGTAGGTCACGAAAATCAACCAGAAACTGATACTCCAACGAATGGAGACCGCGTTCGTCAACACCAGAATCATCACCGCCATCATCAACATCATCATCATCATCATCATGACAACCATAAGAAAAAACGTAGCTCTCAAAGCTCTCATTCAGAAGAAGCTTAACTTTCTCAACATAATAATAATAATAATAATAATAATAATAACAATTATTATTATTACTGAGAGTACCATTTTAGATTCAATGAATAATGTCGTGCCTAATCGATGTACACTTAAAAAAAAGGGAGATCAAGAAAAAAAAGAAGATTTTTTCCTACATTTATTTTAAAAAGAATTTTTACAAAATTTTCAAAAAAAAAAATGCATTCTCAATCTTTATTAAAGTTGAGAAATAAAAAAGAAAATCAACAAAAATTAATAGAAAATTATGTTCAAATTCTGCCATTCAAAAAAACATAAA